TGTTAGCTGTACCTTTAAATAGCTGGTAAACATATGGGAGTTTTGGCATGTCTTTGAACTAGTATGGTGATGCTGATTTACAAAGAAGATAACGGTTGAATACCGTTTTATTTCTTACATTCTTTAGTTTTAATTAGTGACATCTATGTATTTTTGAGTTAAAGGAGAAGTTAGTAGACTGTAATGTATATTGTGAAAGTTTATGATATTAAAGGTTATTGCATTGATTGATATGTTTATTGTTTTCTCAAGAGAATTGATTTTATGCCTACATTCCCAATATTACTGTAAGGTAATTTATGAATGATAATAAGTTATGGCTTTAATTTATACAAGACAGGTTTATGAGTTCTTTTGGTGTTGATGGTGAACCTACCCAGTCAAGGAGGATTTTCTTCTGTTTTCCCTTACCTGCCAGTGATAGGACTCCAACGCAGAGGTTGCGTTAGACTTTCTCGTTGCTCGTCATTTTGACAGATAGGGCCATACAAATTCCATCATATTCCAAATATTTCCTTTAATGTTAATTTGCATTTCTGAATTATAATGAGACTATTAGCCTATATAATGGTAAAAACAACAACTCCATCCCAATAAAATGTAATATGCAGAACTTTGATTATTACAGATTATGTAATTATCACCACACGAAGCAGGTGAATGATTTTTACTTCTTTGCTGACACCTGCTCCCCCTGTAACATTAGCTAAACAACCAGGTCATGCATGCGAGACCAAAGAAAAAGCTCTTGGACAATAGGTAATTAATATACACACTTGCAACCAACTGGACAGGGGGGTCTACTACAGGTGGTCTACATCTGCATGTGAATTACATAATGTTACAGTAGATCGCCCTTAGTCTTAATCTGTCAAATTGATGGACGGCCGTCAGATTCTCCCATCATTGTTTAAAAATATAAGTCAGTGACAGAGAATATTCAGTTAACGTGACTCCTACCCCATTAGTTATGGTTAATTGGTTAATTTCCATTTAGGTCTTGTAATTTAAGTTTTCCATACAAATCCACACTCTGGAACTTTTATTCAATTGCATGAGAGACAGGGATGTATTTATTTTGGGTGCAAAATATCAGTAGTTTTAAAATTGGCTTTCATAAAGTGCATTGCATATGTGCCACCATGAACAATTGTGATCAGAGCCAATGATTCCATATAACAGGAACATCACTTATCTTGGTGTTGTGTGCCCAAAAAGCACTATGCCCCTTTGTTATTACCAGTACAAATAAAAAACAAGTGCTGCTCAGGTTAAAGTAAGAGTTGTTATTGTTGACCAAACTTTACTGTAACTGTGATGATGAGTTTTCTCTTAAGAGCTGAGTTTCATTTTCAAAACCGTCACCATGTCTTAATGTTTGCAGCACACAAACTTTGTATGATTTTTGCAGAGTTGTTTGGAAAATAGGTTCTTAAACAGAGGTGATGGGGACGTGTGTGTGTGTGTGTGTGTGTGTGTGTGTGTGTGTGTGTGTGTGTGTGTGTGTGTGTGCACTTACCAACCTATCTAACAGTGGACCTCGACGTCGTTACACACACACTAAGAGGGGACTAAAAAGTGAACAGGGGACATTTTTTAGGTCCCCTGTTGGACATGTGTGTGTGCGTGTGTGTGGGAGAGAGAAAGACATATAATACATGTAACAAGTCATACTATGTCTGTGTGTTTATATTTGTGACAGTATGCATGTACATTTGTGTATATAGATCTAGTGTTTATATGTACTGTAGCTGGTCATGTGACTGCTCTAGGTAAAGACAAAGGTTTGTCCCAATTTGATATTACGTTGTCATTTTAAGCAGATTTTGATTATTGTACAAAGGAACCTGAGGAGCTACTCACACCTCAGAAAACAAAATAAAGTATTAAATCTTTGGAAAACCATTTTACTTTCTCTTTATAAAATATTAATTGGCAGTGGTGAAGTGATGTCTGTCAACAAACGTCTATCATTCACCTATCAAATATAATTTCCTGTTGGTAAAAACAGTACATTGATTTGTAGAATACTAATGACAAAAATACTGCATATGTAATGTCTGTTTAATATTGAATTGGGGCACAATGTGTGTGAATAAGTAAGTGCTTAGACATGGTAAGAGAGAGTACCAGGATCAGATGTGTTTGTGTGTGTGTGTGTTTGAGTATACATACATGTTATCAACAGGACCTGTAAACTTGACAAAACAATTAGCAGAGTACCCTACTGTGCTACACCAGACACACATACTACACTAGCTCAAAAGACACACAGTTTTGGTAATGGAGAGCCTGGGTCCCAGTGAATGTTAATGGCTGCTGTCGCCACAACTCTAAATTATCTTCCGCTACTCACTCTCTCTCTTCCATGTAAGACTCTTTAATTACATGCCATTCAGTGGAAATGGACTATTTCCTATTTCCCAGTACACACACCGCAGACACTTAAAAATAAGAAACAGGAGACTAGAGGAGCGGAGTTGAAATTGGCGAAAAGAGAAAGAAGTTGTGTACGGAGCAGAGTGAGGAGGGGAAGGGAGCCAAGAGGAGAGGAGGAATTTCTTTTCTTTGGAGCTGAAATCACTGTGTGAGATAAGGCTGTTTTAGGTTTCTATCAGATGATGCAGAGGATCATCTCCTCACAATGGGAAGGCTTCCCCCATTGCTGTGTCAGCAGGCTCAGATTACAGTGGCTTTTTGTTGTGTTTCAAACAATTTCATCATGCCCCCCCCCCCCCCCCCCCCCCCCCCCCCCCAACACACACACATACATACTTTTGCACTTGGTATGCAATAGAGCACTGGCAATTTGTACGTGTTTGGATTCCAATTATGGAGTTGTTAAAGCTTTTTCGCCTGTGGCCTGCAAATTCTTATTAAGCCATACATTAAAGAGCACAGAATCACATTTAAATGGAGTTCATGTTTCTCTTTTGTTTGCAAGCGTTGTGGTTGTTATTAATTTATTCTCAATGCCCTATGCATTACACATTAACAAATAAATTGTGTTTGTGATTGTAATGCAAAATACTTGTTTCTTATTCAGAGATAGGGCCAGCATTTGTCAAGTAAACCAACAACACCAAGCCCAGTGAGAGCGAAAAAGAGAGAAAAACAACCACCAAAATGGAGCCATTCCCTGCTATTACCCTCAACCATTTGTGAAACAAACAAACAAACAAACCCAAAACAACAAGGACATTTCCGCAGTCTCGGTATTTCTTTACAAGCTGACGCAGAAGAGAAAAATGGAATTAGACAGCAGTGTGAGTGATTGAGTGACTGGCTTGGTGGCCATCAGAAATCATTAGGTTATGGGTGCTAGGGCAAGGGAGGCTATGGGGAGTGCTAAAGTCAGCCACCTCAAAGGTCATGACCCTGGACAGACTCCATCACGATCTGTCTTTCTCACAATGAAAAGCATGGCAGAGTGCAGACTGACCATCACAAACAAAGAGAGGAGCTTTGTGAAATAGAACAGAAAGAAAAATATTGATATGTGATTTGGATAAGAGTCAAATGCTCATTGTAAATAAACGTGCAAGTGTGCGAGCACATACGCACAGACACTTTAAGGCTTAGAGCAGCAAGGCAATACAGGTTACAGCTCAATCAATGGATCAATGACTATCCATTTATGGATTATTTATTATAATTAATATAAAACCCTCCTTTCTGATGCAGTCCTGCAGAGGTTACAGCGGAGACATAGCCATCGCGCAAGGGTCATTGAAAAAAGATACACACGCAGAGGCACATGACAAAAATGGATGGTGAATGTTTAGATGGGTAAAAGTGATCTCACATACAGCATGAAAAACAGATTGGAATATTATCCGTGTAAAGACACTTAATACATCACTGACCACTGAATACATTTGGCTGTTGAAATGAGATCCAAAATGCAGTGGCTGCTAATAAACCATCTTCAGAGTGGCAGAAATATGATGCATGGTAACCCATATGAACCTCATTAATAGAACACAAGCAAATCTATTTATTCAGACAGTCAGGGGGAAAATGATTGCCTCAATACTCCATCTGGTTTCTCTCCATCTCTCGTCCACCCTGCCTCTTCTCTTCTCTTTTTTACTTCTTTTCTCCTCTCCCTTTCTCTTCTCTTCTCTTCTCTTCTCTTCTCTTCTCTTCTCTTCTCGATGTATTCAGGGATTTTGACAGATGTTATGTGTATGTGCATGCTTAACATTGGAGCTTGGTGTGTGTGTGTGTGTGTGTGTTTGTGTGCACGCATGGCAGCATACTTGAAGTCTTGCAGTTAGGCATTCACCCTGGAGAGTTTTAACACCTCGTCCTGTCCTCCCTTCCTCTCTGTCAGTATCTCCCTCCTTCCTGCATCTTTATACTGATCTCATCCCTTCTTCTCTCCGTTTGCGTACCACCCCCCAAAACTCTCCTGCAGTCCTATTTCTTTTGTCTCCGCTGCTGTCACAACTGTTCAGGGTGGGGACGCTGGCCAGGCTGCTAGGAGCTTTTGACAGGACATGGCACTAGGGATGGGGAGGCTAGATGGGCCTGGCAATTCATCCAAAGAATTCTCTGCTCATCTCCTACTTTTGTGTTGTGGTTTTGTTTTTTTCTCCTCTTCCCTTGCCGCTATAGAAAATTGTCCACATGTAGCCTGGTGTATTGCACTGCTGCCTGTTTTCATTAACTTGCTCTGTTTATTCCAGGAAATGTTTACAAGGAATTTTGTGTTTTCACTAACTCATGAGACCCTCTAAACAGATAAATTGTTATTATATATATTGTTGTTAATTACCAGATAATTATCAGTATCTGGACGTAAGTACTCACTTTACTGAAAAAGGTCATACATTTTATTTATTTTCATTACTGTCGCCTAATATACTTAATTGATATTTCTTTTAAACTGCTGTGCAGTTTTGTAAAATTTTAAATGTATTGTTCATTATTTTTATCTTATTTAATTGTAATTCGCATGTATGTTGAAGTTTATATGTGGTTTCTCTCTGTGTTAGGTTGTGCATTTCTCACCTACTGCGCCCGAGAGTCTGCCATCAAAGCCCAGAACGCCCTCCATGAACAGAAAACACTGCCAGGGGTAAGTGTCTATCTCTCTCTCTTTCTGTATCAGTCTGTCTCCCCTCCTCTTCTCACTCTCCCTCTTTTCTCTCTATGGTGGTCAGCCATGCCATCTGCACCCAGCTGCACACCAGCCAGCATTCTCCTTGTACAGTCCCAGAAATGAAAAACACTTTAGAAGGCAATTCAATCAATAGCTCAGCCTTTTGAAGGCCCAGTTTCAACTTTTCCATGTGTCTGTTCTCCAGGGGATATTACCAGCATTGATCAGACCCACTCTGCCTCACGTTTTTGGAGTCAATAGCATAGAATGGGGGGCAAAGCTCTGCATCTCTGGAAAGATGCTATCAACAACAAAAAAAATCAAACAGAGCTTAGATTAATGATATTGAAATAATTCATGTGATAAAGATCTAATCGTTCATTTGTGCTCATTGTATTTGTATACATGTGAAATTATTTTTTTGGTATTTACGCATTTGTGTGTAAGTATACACCTTTGTTCAAACTGTTTCTGTGGAAGATTCTAACAAGTGTTAAAAGAATGTCAGAAAGAGACAAAAGGATGGGTGGGTTGAAATGGTTACCCAACACCTCCTCATAACACAACACCCCCTCTGGTTGCAGACAGTGAGTCAGAGAAACACAGGCAAATGGCACATACTTTCAGTTAAACATGCAAATACGGCTACCACAAACTTTTTTTCCTGGTGGCTTTCTTGAAAAACAAGTTGTTTCGTTTATCCTGCAAATTAGCCAAGCATGAGGCTGGAGGGCGTTGTTCTCCTCCTCTTTCTTCTGCTTTTGAATAATAAGATGGAAGAGAAAAAAAAGAAAAAATCTTTCACATAATGCCAGAGGTTGTGTTCATGAGAGTTTATAACTGTGTTTGGCAATGTGTTAAAAAAGGAGGATTCTCTGATTCTTTTACTGTTTTTGTCCCTGGTCTGGCTCTCAAGTATGTTTCTCTCTCCCCAGCCTGGCGGGGCGTCCGTAAGGGTTGAGCTATCATAGGGATTAAATAGTTGATGTGGCTGAATATATAAATGAGGGGCACAAGGGCACAGACATAGACGCTTACAAGTCTGATGCTTTTGCCTGCTTCCCCCTCCTTTTCCTAGTGTTTTGAGAGAGGAGTAGACATCAAAACCATTTGGGTTCTGAAAGGTCTGATCTCTGAGTCCTACAAACAATATTACCATTAACAGCATTACTTAATGTTAACAGAAAAAATAACACTTAATGATTTTACAGCCATGATACATAGAGTATGTATAGAACTAGCAAACACAGCCTAGCATGTTGCATTGGTCATACACAAGTTCTGAAAGTTTGTCCTTTTGTGTGAGCACATGCACACACATTTCAGTAATTTTCACCTTTTTTTTTTTTACCTTTCAGTCCTGCTTTAGCCCTCCTGCTGACTTCCCCTCTACCCCACCCGGTCCTGTCCACCCCACTTCCTCCCCTCTCCCGTCGCTCCCATTGCTCCTCTGCCTCTGCTCTTCCTGAGACAGAGCATGTCATAGAAATGTAACAGGCAGACATTGATGGGTGTCAGGCCTCACAGACGAGGCTGCCCTGCTGTTCCCTTCCTCTCAACTTCACACACACAAACACCAGCGGTCTAAGGAAAAACAGTGTGTGCTATAATAATGCAGCCACACATAGCACAAGAAGGGGCAACATTACCTACACAATTACAGCAGCGCGCCAGTGTCGCTAAACATTACTATAGAGACCTACGGATGAACCAACTGCTGAAGAGAGATTTACTCATAAGTAATGGTTGATTGAAAGAAAGGAAATTATTTATAATACAGTCAAAGAAAATATCATACAAAACATTTTGCGTTAAAGACAATGCTGCATTGTGTTGTGTGTTTTTATGTATGTGTGTGTAAAAATGTGTGCATTTGACTGCCTCCCATCGCTTCTCCTGTCTTTCCCTCTCGAGCCTCCCTGCTCCTAAATCTTTTGCGATATGACCCCTGTTGCCTCACTGCTTGATGGTAAGTAGATACGCCAGTTGTTTGTTTGAAAATTCCTGCTTGATATGCAGTTTGCCAGGGGCTATAGTGTAATTAATGTAAACTAGAAATTCTCCTGAGATGAGTTATGAGTTATTTACGTCTGCATTTTGTCATTAACCCCTGCATTACTGCTCTCTTGCAGGGGGCTTTGACTGGTGTGGTTACTCATACATATCTGTTTTTTTTTTTTAATGATTGTATCTGAATTTATGTCACGCCACCAAAATCCTGCAAATGAGTAGAACCATGTATGAAAGTGTACCACCTAACATGCTATTCTGAGTCTCATGCACGGCCCACCCACACACACCCACACACACACAAGCCAGCTTACACGTGGCAGGGACGGCTGGCCAATAAAGGGCGATAGGGCGCTTCCCTCCTAAAAAATACATTTAATTCATTATTATTATTTTTTTTTTTTTTCAAATAATTTATTCAATTATAAGATGTTCTACCTCCGAATACCATAGTCCTATCAGCTGCAGCATCAAGTCGTGTTCCGTGGAGTACCGACCCTTTCAGACGATTTCAGTCTGGCTAAAATCCCCCACATCGCTCAGATAGACTTTCATGTTTATCATGAAAGTCAGACAGCAGGTACTGCAGTGCAATATCAATGGGTTCTGCGTGTTTTCATCACGTGTAACCTGGTGCATTCACATGATCCTTGGATGGTCCCATTTCCTGAGTTGGCAAGCCATTCTTCCGACCTGTGTGTGTGAGTTTTAAGTTGTAATGTGGAAACAACATGGAAGCTACAAAGAATATGTGTTTTATTTTATTGCATCACAGAGCAGAGCATTTTAACAACACGTTTCCACTAAAATATTGCTTTACAGTTGGAAACTATTTTTTTTCCGACGAGGCAGGGCCACTTGCGCTAGCTCTCACGTTTAAGATGAACATGGCTAATATTTTAAATGCAAGTTATAGCCCTTACGATTTCAGTCCTGGTTGAGGTAGCATCACCTGTGGCTAGTGTTGGTAATGGCAAGTGCATTTTAAAACCCAGAGTTCAGTTTGTAATGACACTTATATCACCCAGTAGGGCAGAAAACACACCTTGAGTGACTACTCATGTTTCTCGTATGTTTACTGTGTACCTAAATGAACTGTGGGCTGAGAGGATTCATGTTTTAATCTCCTAAAGAACACAGTCGTCTGACAGGGTAATTTTGAACTCATGGTTGAATGATGTTTCTTTTGTCTTCCACATCACTTCTCGTACGTGCATGGATCGTTTTCTTTTATTCGTCGTGTGTGTTTATACATTCCTCTGAAGGCAAGGTGTACTCCTTCAAAACAAGAAAAACTATATACAGGCAAATTGCTGAAAACAATGACAGCTATAAATTATATCAAAAATAGGTTTGATAATTAAATGATTTTCTACATGTAGAAAATATCATTCAATTATCAAACCACATTTTTGATATAATGCTTACACTCAGATGCTTCTGTAGCATGGAGGCACTGGTTGCCACACACACACACAACCAAGTGTCCTCTTATTATCAGAAAGAAGCGCTTGTGTTCTTGGATGTTATTATCCATGTCCCCCTGTTCCACATTAGCTGCTGAAAGGAACAGTATGGCCTAATGGAAGTCTACTGGACTGGAATATAGATTCCTGCAATGAAGTGTGATGGGAACCTTGGGGACACTAGTGCCTGACACAAGTTTGGCCACAGAATAAGAGAAGCTCTGACAGTTTACCAGGTGTGTGTTGCTTGGCTCTATTAGCTGTGTGTGTTTGCGCGTGTGTGGTAAGCTGGCTTTGCATTGCAGCCAGCCCTATGTAGATACAGATAGCAGTGTGTAAAGGTGGGAAGAAAAACATGTGCACATGGCAGCGTGCCGTGATGACACACCGCCCACGACAGCGAGGCTTGAATATATTATTTGTGTGGTGTTTCGTGCTTGTTTGCTGCTAATCAAGATGCACTACTTTTTATATTACATAACCATAGGAGGGCTTTTGTGTATGACAATATGCTGGCATATATTAACTTTAAAGCCCAAGAATCAATTTTCTCCCGCCAAGTGAAATCTAAGTATCCCCTGATGACCCTGACACTGATTACCCTTTATAACATCATTTGTGAGGAAAAAACATACAGACAGAAACAGACTGCCAGCTAAGACCCGGTGGCTGTTTCTACATAGTTGATGTGTGTGCTTGTGAGTGTCAAAGCTCTCTACACAAGTCTACAGACGATTTACTCCACACAGCTCAGCATCATGACAAAATCCTTCACTATCCACCCACCTTTCCCCCTCCCTCAATCCTCACTTCCACCCTCTCTCCTCAAACTCTGTCCTCTCACTGCCGCTCCTCAAATCCACCAGATCCAAGAAATAATCTCAGTCACTGCAGAAAGTCTATTTGCTGTAGCACAGAAAAACATGCCACCCTCCCCTTTTTGTCATGCTAGCTCTGTGTAAAACAGTAATTGTCTTGGAGAGGCAATGGTGGAAATGTGTTTTCTGCATGCATTTACTCCTAGTATTAGTACAGCTCGACCTGGGGGGAGTGTAAAAGGCTGGCAGTGATTCAGGAGGCAGGTTTATGGAAATAGCACCCGCATTAAAAACCCAATGAGAGCAGGGAGAAGATTATGCTCCGGTACACATGTGTGGGCTCCTGCAATGTCAACACTCTAAGTAGATCCCCTCCCTCTCAATTGCCTCTGTCTCCCTCTGTCTCCATTTCTGTCTCTCCTGCTCCCTCATTCTTGTGCCATTTGCTGCGCACATACCTGCACTATTAGTCTGCTGTGTAAGTGCACATGAATTTGTATACATGTGCATGCATGAATTTCCATGTGTTTGTGTTATTGTGCAAATGTACCAGTGCTCAGCTTAGCCATAATAGGATGTATGAGAAGCGAGGAGCGGAGCAGGGCTGTGTTGCGGAGAGTGGCCGACCTTGTGCTGTGGAAATGAGGCTGCTGTGAGATGGAGCCGTTCCTTGACATGCTGC